AACCATTGTAACCTTTGGCTGACATTTTTAACCAGGTCATTTTTTAAATGTCTTAACATATCCAGTTATACAACCCTAAATGCATCAACATTACAGTAAAATGTTATATTGTCAAGCACTCAGTAAATAAGCTGGAGTGCTGTCAGGGAAAAGATTAATTTAATTTCAGCAGCTGCAAGGCCATGTATGAAGTTGTATTTTAATGTATAATTTTATGTTTGGCGTTTTAAGCAGTTGTAAAGTAGTTAAAATGTACATGTAGAATTAAAATAAAAGTACTTTGGATATTTCTGTTCACTTTTCTGCTGCTGACTGTATTGCTCAACTAATAATTGACTAGATCAGGTGTCTGCAACCTTTACAATCAAAACAGCCATTTATGCCTCTTTGTTCACTAATTTAAGTGTGTCTGGAGCCACAACAATCTGGTACAACTGTGATCATCAATTGGTGGCCCATTGACTACATTAATTTTGTTGGAGGGGGATTTTCTGGCCAGTAGACGTGACTTTATAAAACTAAAAATATCAAATGGTTTTTAACAGTTGATTTTTTTTGTAAATTTTAAGAACAAGAAAAATACCAGATTGTTGTTAAAAAAAAAGGAGATTTTAACAATTTTGTAAATTTTTAAAGAATGAAGTATTCAGGCCTATGATCTTATTTTTTATTGTGGAAAAAGTAAGTATCCTACTTTGAAGAGATAAATGAATATGTTTTACTCTTTGTATTATTCTACTCTTTACATTTTTGCAACAAAAAAAACGACTGGAAGACAGTTAAAATGACCCTTTTTTATTTTAGTATAACAACCAATAAAATACAGTTTTATGTTAGCTTTGGTCAAAGCTTGAAAGAGCCACTGTAGAGGGACCAAAGAGCCACCTGTAGCTCCAGAGCCACAGGTTGCAGATACCTGGACTAGATGTATTGCTTGGAAGGATTGGACTTTGACGAAAACTGGGGAAGTGTTTAACATACCAGGGTTTGTTATGTTGGACTGAGGGGTACTG